ATATGCTATATCCGCATACTAACCCTTTCCTTCATGACTTAAGTAATTTCATTTTAAAATCATGTAACGTCATAAATTCGAAGATACCCGTTTATGATTTTTTGTTATGTCTACTTATTTATTTTATCGCTCGAAAGAACCTTTTCCTGACATAGCGATGTCAACCACTCATTATTTTGCCGTTGACCGCTAGATAAGGCGATAAAAGAGAAATATAATTAAAATCTAATTGTTTATCAGTTTTGATACCTTCCAAAAAGACTGGCCGTTATCTATTTAAAATTGTCGATAGATCGGTGTTAGCTCTTCTCCATTCTTTCTTCTGTAATTGGCCGTGCTAGAGTGCAAGTTTATTGTTTTTTGGTCATTTTTTTTTAATGATGGAGTAGAGCCGCCAACGGCGAACGGCCAGGTCTTTTCGGCGAAGCATCCAGACCATCGGATGGGTCTCTTCGGAGACCGGGTATCGTTTTCTTTTATATATTATATTTATATAATGAGCTATATTTTATTAATTATTTTATTTCATTTTTATTTTATCGTAAATTAACTTAATTTTGATTATGTGTGGAGAGCACGTGTTTCCCTTTTCTTCTAGCCAACGCTAGTGTCCAGGCCGCTCCTGGTGTTCTTCATTAATTTCCAATTAACATTAACGGATGTGTTCCAATACTGTCCGTGATGTTTGTAATATTATTTGTTTTTTTGTTTAAATATTTTATTTTATTTGTAGACATGGTTTTTGATGCATTCGCATTTTTGTCCATGTTTAACTTAATTTTCTTTTTTTTAACAATTTAATTTAATTTCCTTATTAATTTCAACTGTAATATTTATTTTATTGTGCGAGTAACTTAATTACTCGCGTGTATTTTATCCCTGTTTCTTAATCTAGACACGGACTACGGTATGTTTTACATATCAACCACATACAACTTTGATTGTCATAATTGTGTTTAATAAACCACGAGGTATTATAGTAATTTATACATATAACGACATATTAATTTAGATTATACTTTTAATTAACTTAAAATTAAATTCCACCTATGGTCCGGTAATCATATCTGATAGGTGTGACACCTCGCCTAGGTGGTGACGACCCTTGCTACTATAGCTAGTCGTTATGTAAGTGGTAAACCATGTTGTTGTTACAGGCCGAATTATATAAAAAGGCCCCTTGCAGTCATAATAATTAATTTTAAACAGGCGATTTCTAAATATTTCACAAATATATGTAATAGAGTATGTGTATACAATAACTATTACACATTAATAATCAAAAAGAATTTGATAAAATTTTCTTTTTAATTACAAAATAACTGAATTTTTATGAAATAGTAAAATATTGTACATATTTATTATAAGTATTTTCACTTTAATGTAATAATAATGATCACCTTATGATAAGTATGGTTACACATCACCTCCCCTTCTACGTAGGGGTAAACCACTGATCTACTGTTTTAATACTTACGTTAGTCAAGGAAGGGGGGCTCTCTATAACTAAAGGCATTCACGTCACATAGTTATAATTGGGATTTGTTGGATTAATATGCCGCCGCCTCCCGTGTTCCCTTGTTCAAGGAATCGGGCGCGTCCTCAGATTGCGGATAGAGGAACGGCATGTAGATATACAGGTTAGCCGCGAAATAAGCAGTCCTTTCGGAGACTGACGAATAAGCGGTCGCGGACAGCGAGCCACTCGGACGCTTGTTAACCGTACAGATATGTAGGGTAGTCGTGATATAAGCCACTCTATCTGAGAAAATGGGCGAATAAGCGGTAGCATTCGAGTGATCATGGGTAGGTGGGCTCATTAGCCCGGTAAGGCAACCACCTAAGTGACACCAAAATAAAATCCATTGGTGACACGTATGTCGCAAGGGTTAGAATTTACCCCAAAAATCAACCATGGAAAATTCAAAAGACTTCTTGGATTATTTTTTTTCTGGCTGAAAGTTTGGCTTTATCTTCACCTCTTACTTGCCACTGTTTTATATCTAGACGATAAGAAACGTGTAAAAAATTTTCAAAAAACCTAATCCAGGCATGCAAAGTTGAAAGGTCAATACGAAGTGTCGTTGGGTCTACCTCCTTATTCATAACTTTTTCGATTTGAATGATTTCGGTTGTTGTAGCCTAATAAATATAATATCTTTGTGTAGAAGTAGTGGATGTAATCGCATTACAAACTTTTCCATCGATCATTGTAAGTTGCATATCATGTAAAATATCTAAATTATAGTTATTTATTGATAATTTTATTGGTTTTAATTCTTTAATTTGATTTTCAATGTATTCTTTTTCATTTAAATGTACTTCTGTCGTTTCTTTTTTAAACTGAATTCGAATTAGTCACAATACCTTGTAGAGGACGAGCGAGGATTTTGTCATATTATTTTTTTGTTTGAATTAGATATATTTACAAATAATTGAATGGGTACTATTGATGTTAAGAGTATTTGTGAGTCATTAAAATCATAGGTACATATTTGCTTATATTCACTATGACCTGTACTGCCATCGAAATCCCATTTTATGACCAAAGTCATAGAAGAAATATTTTTGTCAGAAAAACTATCAACTACACTACACTGGCATTGTATTATACGAACAACCGTGTGATCAAGAAGTTCTTGAAGATTAATTTCAGCAAGAGATCCTGTAATTTTAACCGCTTCTTTTGGGGAATAGCACCGTGTTTTTGCTTCTCTAATAAAATTATAAGGTGGATATATATCGGAATTGTTCTCTTTGGCATTGACGACAGGATACCCGCCGCCACTCCGGACACCGTTCGGTACGCCGAAACTGTCCGGATCGCCGCCCGCTTCTGCACCCTGAGCAGTGCTTCACGGTTTTTGGACGAATACTCAAGAGTATCCGCCCAAACCGGGGACCCGTACAGGAGAACCGAGTGTACGACGCTAACTAAAAGTCTGCGCCGCATCTCTCTCGGCCCTCCCAGATTGGGCATGAGTCCCCCGTCAGGCAATTCATGACTTTCTGGGCTCGCTGGGCCGCATGAGTAATGTGCGGCCCGAACTTTAAACATTTGTCTATGACAAAGCCCAGATAAGTCATGAAGTCCTTAAGTAGGATCTCCACCCCCAGCACGCCGAGCCGTGGAGGAGTGAAATTGTACCTGCCCGTGAACAAGACCGCTTCGGTCTTGTCTAGGGCGAGGCTCAGTCCACTCCCCTCCTGCTGGATCCAGGCGGTGACTGCGCTGAGCGCGCAGTTCGCTCGGGATCCAGCCTCCTCGGACGAGGCGCCTTCCGCCACCACCAGCGTGTCGTCCGCTTAGCAGACGACGTGCACGTGCGGTGGTAGCGGAACGCGGAACACCGCGTCATATGCGATGTTCCACAGCAGAGGCCCGAGAACTGACCCTTGCGGGACGCCACCCGTAACAGGTCTGTTTCTCTCGTAGTAGATGACCCGATCGCGAAAGTACGACCGGATCATCCGCCCGAGGTAAGGAGGCACCCGAAACGCGTCCAGCGCTCCGAAAATGTGTGACCATCGCACGGAGTTGAACGCGTTTCGGATGTCCAAGCTCACCGCCACCCCGAAACCCTGCTCAGTTTTGGCCCTAAGGGCCAAGTCTCTGAAGAGGGAGGCCGCGTCATCCGTCGACCTCCCCCTCCGGAAGCGGAACTGGCCCTCGGCGACGTCGGCCAGGTGGGCTTCGATCCAGGTAACGAGCAGCCGCTCGAGGATCTTCCCCAAGTCGTCCAACATGCAAAGCGGTCGGTACGACGAAGGGAGACCCTCGGGCTTGTCAACCTTTCTCAAAAGCACCAGCCTGGCCTTCTTCCACTTCGTGAGGAATTCGTGAGAGGCAGCGGTTCGCGACGGCCAATCGGGCCCACCCCGTTATGAATTTACCCTCGATCGCTACCGCTTATTCGTCCACTTTACAGTGGCTTATATCACGGCTACCCTGCATATCTGCAGGGTTAACGAGCGAACGAGGAGCTCATTGTCCGCGATCGCTTATTCGTCAGTCCAAATTAATGGACCGCTTATTTCGTGGCTAACCTGCATATCTACAGGCCGTTCCTCTATCCACAACCTGAGGACGCGCCCGATTCCCCGAGCTAGGGAAACTGCGCTCGTGCCGACGTTTTGTAGCCCCGTAGAGCCCGATCACACCGACACTGTAGCGCAGCGAAATGGGAGTACATGACACCCAAACGATACACTTGTCTTTATGTCTATCTTTATATCATTTCATATCACCTGAATTTTCTAGCAATAAGTATTTTAAATCATTCCTGTAAGTATCAGGGTTAAAATGTTTTTTAAATTAAGACTTTTTTAGTATGGATAACATACTTTATATATCTACTGTAGAAGTCAAATAGGAGAATATTATAAGATACATCCCACATTTACAAAAACTGTTTTTGACATTTCTGTATAACTTTTTCATCTTATAGTTTATATTATAGAAAACTTATATATGACAATTAAAAAAAAAAGGAAATCAGCAGTACTTATATGAAATAATTATTTATTAATTAGTTAACCAAAACAAAACCAACCTCACACCCCTTGAAACATTGTAAAATATACAAAAAAACGAACACCGGTGGATAGTAACAGCTCTCACCTGGCTACTTTATGTTACTACTGCTGATATCGCCAGAAATTTCTCTTATTTAAGTTTCTTATACACTCGAGGTACCATTTGGAACTTATGCCATTCAATAGGACATTTGATAAGCTTTTCGTTGGTATTTAATTATTAAGTGAATACGTCTTGTAACTTTGTAATAATATAATATAATACAACTTTTTTAATAAGTAGCGCAATCTAGCGATGTATACACGTAATGTGTCAGATTATGAATTGCAAGAAAGGAATAGCTTACTTCCGCAAATAAATATTTAGGCATAAATGATAATATTATCACTATATTTATGGAATATTTATTTATATTCGGCCAATGAAATGTGGCGAACCAGCTATTGTAACATACCTAATTATTTTGTCATGGAAAAAACTAAATAAAATCAATAGACCATTATAATTCATAATAAATGTACGTTATTATATGTAGTAAAAGCATGTTGTTCAGTTAAAGATAATTGACCAAATTGAATACAAAACTTCAGGTTATTCTTTGTTAATTTACTTAAAATTTCAATAGATAATTAAAAAAACAATTTAACGAAAAAAAAAATGAATTAATTTTATTTTATTTATTGAAGGAAAGAGTAATAAAATAACCAAGAATAATTTTAATCTTAAAATTAACAATAATATTGTAAAAGATTTAAAAATATTATTAAGTTATAAGTAGTTGTATAAAAAACACTCAGTATGTTATTTTAATTTTACTTTATATTTTTAGTAAAAGTCGTTTAATAATTGCACATTTAATTAACAGTAGTTATTAGTAAAATCTTGCAAAATGTAAGAAAAGTAGTTATAATATGTTTGTATGATAAAGTTAACAATAAATTTCACATTTTAATATAATATTTAAATAACTCAATAAAATTATATTTTTAAAACTTAAGAAAAAATTATAAATATTGACTATAGTTATTACACAAATATTGATAATGTTTGAATTTCTAATTTAATGTTTAGATTCATGAATCATAAAACTTTAATTAAAATGTGGAGGAGTGGAAGAAAATTAAATTTTTGGATAGCTTTAAATAGATAATAATTTTATAAATGAAGATCATTATAATTGTTCTAAAATTTCCATTTTATTTCTTTCAGTTTCTTCATAAATAATTGATTATTGTTTTGATATCTAGTCATGGATATAATGGAAGAACAACCGTTAAAATATAAAAGAAATAACATAAATTTAGTCAATGATAATGATGATGTTATAGCAAGTTTGATTAGTGGCATGAAACATGCAGCTAAAGTTCATTTAGTTTATATATATTTTTTTTCTAATATTATTAATTTATCTATAAAATTATTTTTAATTTAAGATGGACAGAAAACTTAATCGAGAAAGAAAACCAGCCATTAACAAAATTATCATGTTGCCAAAATGTCTATCACAATTGAAGAAGCATAATTTAATGTTGGCATTTGTTGAACACAATGTATTAAATGTCTTCACTGATTGGTTAGCACCTATGCCTGATAGAAGTCTACCATCACTTCAAGTGCGAGAATCTCTTCTAAAACTTTTAGCAGATGTAATTAAATTATAGAAATATATAAAATAAACAAATTTATACTTTTAAACATGTTTGACAATTTTTAGTATCCCCCCATTGAGCAATCTACACTTAAGTATTCTGGAATAGGAAAAGCTGTTATGTATTTGTATAGACATCCAAAAGAAACTAAAGAAAACCGAGAACGAGCTGGTCAGCTTATTAGTCAATGGGCCAAGCCCATTTTCAATGTATTAGCTGATATTGGTAAATAACTAAATAATTTTGTTTAAAATAGCTTATATATTAGTAACAATATCTTATATGTACAATTAAGATGTTATTTAGATTATTTATTATTTGAAATATATTTATTTATGGTAGTTTGTATTCAAAATATTTATTAGTTAAAAGTTTTATGGAAAATTAAAACTTGATATAAAAAGTACTTTTAGTTTAATTTTGGGTTTTATAACTAAAGTGAAAATGCTGGGGGTGCAATAATTGTGTTATGCTCACAAACTTGCCCCTGAATAACAATCCTTAAATAATTACTTACCAGGGTCAATGGGCAAATATTAATATACAAAATTTCAATAAACTATTTTATTAACATAAATAACTTTCAAATGGTATAAAAAAATGATTTGTAATTTATGTTTATTGTCAACTACTGATAAAAAAATCCTTCATAAAACGTGAATAAGATATTTTCACTTAATTTTAGTAAATTAGAACTGAGTGTGCTGATTTAGAGATGGGTAGTACTGCAGCACTCCCAACACCCTTGTTAGTTGCTCCAATGGTTTTGATGTATACCTGTAAAACTTTGCTTTTACACTGTCGTGTTTTTCTTTTTTTTGTGTGTGTACCTATAGGCAATTACTCTCTGGTTTACTGAACTCATTTTACTTAATAATATGTCAAAATATCACAAAACATACCAAAATAAAACTATTAACGCTATAATTTTAGAAAATTATATTCAGTTCGAGTAATAAAGAGAAACATCCTGAAACATTACAGTTGTCATAGAACAATCAATATAAATATTTTTAATTGTTACTCTATATTAAATAATTTTTTAAAAACTATACGGAATTTTGTTATATTTTTATTGAAACTTCTTCAATAAAAACTTTTGACTTACTGACAATAATTTTTTTTTGAAAATTCCACAATTAACTAAAGTTTGAGTAGGTATTACAAATTATATCAACATTTTTTTCTTTTCAATTTTTGATAATACTCTTAAAAAACTATTTTCTTCAAATTTACATTAAAAAACATAGGGGGGTCGCAGCACAGTGGTGACGTGGCATAGTTGGGTCAAATATAATGACATCTGACAGTGATTTAATAAACACTTTGATGCAAATCTTTAGATAATGTTTAATTCTAAGAAATTAGTGGATAATTACAAAAGCAACATCAACTATTTCCTTAATTATATCCTGATTTAGAATAAGTATGTCGAATGAAAGATGTATATAAATACTACTTCTCATGAAAAAATTGTATTGATCCATACATTTTTCAAAAAGTTATAGCATAATAAAGTTAAAAATGTTAAATACCAATTCAAGAATTTTCACATAAAAATAACATTCGATAGACATTTTCACCGTGAAAACAAAATAAAGTCTGAAATTTTTTATTTTCCGTGATAAAGTATATTACATTAGCTTTAATTTAAGATATATATAAAAATGTCAGACTTTACGGAACACTTTCAAAAGTTAAGTTGAAAATGTTAATTTTTTGTGAATAAGTTGTCATTTAAATCCCCCCCTGTGTGCAGGGGTCAGGGTGTAAAGGGTCAGATTTATAAAAAAATATTCCAAATGAAAGGTAAAGATATCATGCATTTATATAAAAAAAACATTATATTCATTTGGTTATTTTTAAAAAAGTTATGGCGGTTTTAAGTAAAAAATTTTTCTAAAATTAATGATTTTTAACTTTGTAATTTTTTTTGAGATATCTCCCATTTACGCGGATTGAGGGAAATCTTTTCAATTTATGAGGGTAATATCTTCGACTAGATAAGTTTGTGATCTTTTGACATATTGTTAAAAGAAATCGGTTTGGTGAGAGCTGAAAAAAAGTGGTAACAGACACAAAAAACACATCATAGTAAAACCAATACCTTCTCAGCTTCACATCAAAGCTAAAAGCTAATATAATTTACTTAAAGATGAATAAACAAAAATATTAAATTTTGAAATATTTTTTTGCATACCAACGGAATATCTATATAATTCATAACTTCATAAAATTTAAGGTTTTTTATGTACTAATTTAATAAAAAAAATGCTTTCTGACGATTTTTCATGATTGGCATGATCCATCAATTGGCCTTTAAAACGATAATCATATAATTTTGGTGGATATAATAAACTACTCTAACTATTTTAATATAGCCTTACACAAATTAAAATATTAAAGGATAATATCTTTATTTCAACATATTTTTTTTGAAAATATCATTTACAAAGGTACTCTGGAGGCTTAATTATCATATAAAAATTATTGAAATGATGATGAAACATTTAGATTAATATTAATTGATGTCTTGCGATGATTAAATCACTATTGTAAAACGCTTTGATGCGTATTTGATACAAACTTAAAAAAGAAATTTATCATGTAAACCAAAAATTACATGATTGTCATCAATTTTAGTGATAGATTCCTCATTTAAGACAGTTGTGCGTCGTTACGTCTTTCTTATAATTATTTATACTATATTATAAATATAAATTGAAAAGAAAAATATTTTCTTTTTAATGATTTTTAACTTCTACCCAGTACCTTGGTTAAATATTGGTTTTCAAAAAGGTTTTGCCCTTTATTTTGTTGTTTGAAAAGAATTTATCCAAACTATGATGCCTTAAGATTCTACTAGATACGATTTGTGATCCTTTGACGAATTTTTGAGCTAAATTGGCTTAGTAAAAGTTGATTAATTTGCATAAATTAANCATAAGTTACTATTTTTCTATTGCAAGAGTCAAAAAAATATTTTAATGCCCCTTTATACAGATTTTTTTTTTTTTTTATTATATAATTTCATTTTTTCTTTAATTAAAAAAAATATATTTATATATATATATAATAAATAATATATATATATACATAAAGTTATATATATATATTTAAGAAGTTACAGAACAATTTCCGCATAATAGTGGTTATGTTGACCAACAAATGAGACATGAAGATGAAAGTAACAATGAAAATGATGAGGATGATAGTGATGAATATGATAATAATGATAGTGAAAATTATAACATGAACAATTCTAAGAGTACAAAGAGGTTGTTTTTTCTTAAAATAATTAGTTTAGTGTTTTTATAGTAACCTGTCAAAAAAATCTTACTTTATATTACAATTCTCAAATCAGTTTAAACATAAGTCTGACTTAAGCAATTCGGTCGCCCTTGAATCAATCACTTTTTAATTATATGCTTGACAGGTTTCTGTACTGAATATAATATTATTCACAATATATGTTTAAATTATTATTTGTATGCCTTCTATAATGCTGTTTTATTTATTATTCATTAAAAGTACTAATTAAAATAGTTATTCTGAAGCTTTTTTAGATTTGTTTTATTAATAATTTAAACATTACTCGAAATACCAGTTATGTTGACTATATAGATATTTGAGATATCTATATAGTTATGACCATTATCACGTATCGCACTGCCACGCTCTTCCTTCCATTCATAAATAAACACATTCATAATTTCTGAATATGATTGTAATACCATTTCAACAATTTAAATCTATTTCCGCCTTTGTATGATTGTTATATATCTTCTGTAAATCAAATTTCATGCTTACGTAACTAAAAAATGAACAAAATTAATACGGATACTGTAATTTTTTTTTACATGGGGGTAAAAATTGATCCTCTTGATTGTTATAAAATCAAAAAGATGGTTAAGCAAAAAGTTATTTTTATGGTGATTTTTAGTGATTATATAGAATAAATCTAGTAATTTATAAATTTTAATAAAATAAAATTATTTTCTTTTATTAATTATTAATCTATGTCAAAAATTTGATTGTAATTTTACTTTATTCACCAGAATTTGCTATGCCAAAATTGATAGTATAATAATAATAAAAATAATACTAAAAGATAATCACAAAATCTGATATTTATAATAACTCATTTTTTTAACTTTATATTCTCTAAAATATTTTTTATGTAAATTATTATTTTATCATGTTAGCCGACCCCAAGTAATTGGGATTAAGGAGAGGAAGAAGAAAAAGATTATTTTATCATGTAAGAGTACCAAATATGAAAAAAAAAATGTATTATTTATTTAATTCGTTATTTAAAAATTTGTTAAAAATGTTTTACGAGTACAATCAAAAATATGCAACAAAATAAAATATCAAAATAAACAAAATAAACCTCTACTAATAATAATATAACGTATCAATTCTTATACCAGAACAATAGTGATTTTCTTGTGCATTTTTTAGTTATGCTATTCATTAAACATAAATTATTTCCTCTCCAAATAATTTAAGTTAACCCAACAAAATTAAAATTGCACAAAAAAAACAACCAGGTTAATGTTTTATAATTATTTATTATTATGAATTAAATTGTATGATATGTTAATATAATATAGCCTTATTCTAAATGTATAAATTTATTAATTAATACTAGGTAATTTTATTAGAGGTGTGTTCAATTTTTATGTTCAGAATAATTGGAAAAATGTAGATGACTTGTATTTGTATTGGTGTAGCGATATGTATTATGTTTAGTGGTGTGATAGAGAAGAGTATATATGACATTAGCATATAATCTTGGTTTATTATTAACATTTTTTTCGTGTAATATCCTAGTCACGGTGATCTTAGTTATCAGTGATCTCAAATATTAATGTGATTACAGATATATATAACACAAAATTATTAGCGAAGATAATTTTATCTAATAACCTTGTATCTCCTCAGGGGGGTGCTAAGCAATTAGCACTACGGGTTTGGCGAACCCGAGCCCTGAGATTACCTTAATTGGTTGTCTCAGTTTTGGTCCTCCAGTTTGAGGGTTTGGCGGTGGGCTAACAACTCACCCCAGTAAAAAAAACAGTGTTAAGAAACCTATCACTACTAAGCCTCGGAATACAACAGATAATTTGGGAAATAGAATTGGAACTGGAACAGGAAAATCTGGGATATTTCGATTTGGAACATGGAACATAAGATCCCTGTATAAGCCAGGGGCCCTAAAATGCATTACTGGTATAATGAAAGAATATAATGTAGATTTAGTAGCCCTCCAAGAAGTAAGATGGCCAGGTTCGGGACATCTTAAATCAGATAACATGACAGTTTTTTATAGTGGAAACGATAATGGAAGACACGAGTACGGAGTTGGTTTTATAGTGAAAGAGTCTTTAATAAAAGTAGTAAAGAAATTCGAAGCAGTAAATGATCGATTATGCTATCTAATAATTGATGGGAAGCCTTTTAACATAGCAATAATCAACTGTTATGCACCAACAGAAACGGCAGACAATGATTATAAAGACTCCTTTTATGACAACCTAGAAAGGGTATTCGACTTAATACCTAGAAACTGCGTAAGAATTGTAGTTGGGGATCAAAATGCCCAAGTTGGACGAGAACATGTGTTTAGATATACTATAGGAAAGGAAAGTATGCACATTGAAAGCAATGATAATGGATTGAGATTAATAAGCTTCGCCTCAACCAAAGGATTAGTAATAAGTAGCACCCAATTCCAACGGAAAGAAATTTACAAACAAACCTGGGTGTCTCCAGACGGAAAAACTAAAAGCCAAATTGACCATATACTTATAGATAAAAGATATAGAACTAGTGTTAGACAAGTAAGAAGCTATAGAGGGGCAGATGGAGACACAGACCATTACCTTGTCATAGCATCTTTTAAAATCAAACTGGCTAATAGTTGGAATCAGAAAAAATTATATAGTAAAACACGCCTGGAAATAGAGAAAATTAAAGATCACGAAAGAGCCAAAACATACCGACAGAATCTAGATAACGAACTTATGGAAAAATCTCATAATGCAGTACAAAACATTGATGAAAGATGGAACATAGTTAAAAACTCAATTAACAAATCATCTGAAATATTTAAAAAAGAAAACACATCCCATGTTAAAAACTCATGGTATAATGATCGGTGCAGAGAAGCCATAGGAAAACGCGCAGAAGCAAGAATAAAAATGATACAAGACCCATCTCCTAATAATACAGAAGAATTTATTAAAACCAAAAAAATAGCAAATAAAATATTGAGACAGGAAAAAAGAGCAGCGGAAAAAGAACTTATCCAAAAAATAGAAGTACATAGGCTCAACCCAAGATTATTCTTTAAAAAATGTAGATCAATAAAGGAAGGTTTTAAAGCTCAAACCCGTATTGTCAAGGACCACGATGGATATTTGATTACGAATGAAGAGGGTATCATCCAAAAGTTTCAAAAGCACTTTGAGAATATTTTAAACATTGACCACGATGATACGAATGAAGATGAATGCGTGATGTATCATACGGCACAACCTCTCCTTGAGGAACCAAGTCATAAAGAAGTCGAGGATCTTATCGGGATTTTAAAAAACAACAAAGCCCCCGGAGAGGATAATATTAATTCTGAGTTATTAAAGATCGGTACTAAACAACTTGTAAATAAAATACATGGACTTTTAAAAGAAATATGGAATACCAATCGTATACCTGAAGATTGGAAAACAGCCATCATTTGTCCCATTTTCAAGAAGGGTGATCCCATGGACACAGGTAATTATAGGGGAATCACACTATTAGACTCCTGCTACAAAATTCTATCCCTGGCGATACTACGAAGGTTGGAAGTATATTCCAAAGATATAATTGGAGACTATCAAACTGGATTTATAAGAGGAAAGTCCACCTCTGACCATATATTCACTATAAGGCAAATAATGGAAAAATTTTATGAATTTGGAAAGGATATCCACATGTGTTTTATAGATTTCAGACAGGCATACGACAGTATTAATCGAGAGAAACTGTGGATGGTACTAGAGGAATTTGGAATCCCAAAAAAACTTATCCATCTGATAAGAGAATGCTACAAACATACCTTGTGCAAGGTAAAGTTTGGCAACGGTTTATCGGAGAGCTTTGAAGTTAAAACTGGCCTTAAACAGGGTGATGCACTATCACCAGTCCTTTTTAATTTGGCGCTTGAAAAGGTGGTCAGATCAATGCCAATGAGTCAAGGCATGGAGATTCTGTTCAAAAATACGCTCCTTGCCTATGCAGACGACATAGTTATTATAGGAAATACCCGACAAGAAGTAGCGACAAGAACAAATGATTTAATTAGAGCAGCAAAGCCAATGGGCCTGGAAGTAAACCAGGGAAAAACAAAATATTTAGTCATGACGAGAGGAACAAGGGACAACTCTCACCTAGTAGTTGAAAACTATACTTTTCAACAAGTGAGTGATTTTAAATATCTTGGGGTAAACATAAGCCAACAAAATAATATGCACAACGAAATTAAAATAAGGATATCTGCCGCTAACAAGGGTTACTATGCTTTAGAAAAATTATTCAAATCAAAACTTCTTTCTAGACGATCAAAGGAACGACTATACTCAAGCTTCCTACGGCCAGTGTTAACATATGCGTGTGAAACATGGTCAACAACTAAAGGAGATGAGGAAAAAATGGCTTGTTTTGAAAGAAAAGTACTCAGAAGGATATATGGACCTATTTTAGAAAATGAAGTGTGCAGAAGAAGAACTAATAGAGAAATACAACAAATTTATCGAAAACCTGGTATTAACGCTTTCCTCATGAGCAAACGAATTGAGTGGGCAGGGCATGTATGGAGGTCAAATGGAATTTTAAAGAAAGCACTAGAGGGAAAAATAAATGGGAAAAGACCTAGGGGCCGCCCAAGACAGCGCTGGATAGACAGGGTCAATGATGACCTTAACAAATGCAACCAGGAAGTGACGATAGCAGACAGCGTTGATAGAAATAAGTGGAGGAATGTAGTAGAGGCAGCGAAAGTCCTTCAAGGACTGTAAAAGCTGAAGAAGAAGAAGAATAACCTTGTATTATCAAGTTTATTAGATCAATATAATTTGTTATTACCAAGGTTATTAGATAACCTAGCACTTTATTTAACCTTGGATTAAATGAACTAAAATCACTGATTAAAGAAAATTTAATTACAAATTTATTATTTAATCGTCTATGATAAGAAAAACTTCTTCCTCGTCTTAATCCCAACTACTTGGGA